TTTGAAACCTAATGGCATCTGGTTTGTGAAGCTATACTTGTTAAGCTTAAGGTTCTGCACCCTGATCTGACACTGTTCACCTGCAACATTCTAGCTAATGGTGAGTCAGCAAAACGAAGACTTCTTCTTGATATCTGCTTGAAGCGTCTTTAGGCCCTTAAAGGCAGAATATGCTGCCTTGACCGCTGAACAGTGGAGAAACATTCAGAGCTGGAGTTTTATGTCAGATGCAGATGTTCACCACATTCAGACTGGTCTATAAACAGTCCTTAGCCTGAAAGAGTCTGTAATAGAAAGGCACAAGTCGGACTGAGCCTGAAATGATCATGATGGGTTCTTGGTCCTGCTTCCTGTCCGCTCTTCCCTTGCATCATGCTCACAGAAACTGAAGAATTTCCGATAGTGAGAGAACATCTGAAGTAGGCTTTCATCAGCTATCTTCTACACATCAGGCAGTGTGACAGTTTCAGACTGAACTTCAGATGCTGTCATCGTTTGAAATGAACGCTGAGAATTCAGCATCAGATAGAAAAAGCTAAAGTGAGGTGGCTGATTTTCAAAATGGTCAGCAGGGCAGTGAAGCTGACATTAGATGTTTCCTGGATGTGTTTCAGAGTACAGTAGATAAACTCATTAAGAAGACCAACCTGGCTCTGCTGATTGGGACCAACAGCTGGAGGGAGCAGTTTGTGGAGGCCATCACGGTCAGCTCAGGTATGAACTAACTCTAACTGTCCTTCTTCAGGTATGAAAACCAACATTAATATAAGCCCTGATTAAGGGCTACCAGTCTGTACCCAAGCCAAGCTTTAAAACTGATTCCTGGCTCTGCTCTCCTCAGGCGATGATGATGAATGTGGAGAGGAGAAGCTGCCCTCTTGTTTTGACTACGTCATGCACTTCCTCACCATTTTTTGGAAGCTTCTGTTCGCCTTCGTTCCTCCTACAGACTACTGGAATGGTTGGGCCTGTTTTGTTGTCTCCATCACTGTCATAGGCATGTTGACGGCAGTGATCGGAGACCTGGCGTCGCATTTCGGCTGCACCGTGGGCCTCAAAGACTCAGTCACCGCTGTGGTGTTCGTCGCTTTGGGCACTTCTGTACCAGGTCTAACACAAACATCTCGTTTTCTTTACTAGGACTTTCAGTCCTTCAGATTTTGTCCAAGGCAAATCCTAATAAAAACATTACAGCAAACAAACAACAGCACATTAAATCAGAACTATCTGTATGAAAACCCTAAAGGTTCTGATTCTGTTCATCTGGACGTTTTCAGTGGGAGAAACGTTTCATCATCATCCAGGTGACTTCTTCAGTCTCAGGTTTCCAATCTTATAAACAGGACATTTGCATAATGACTGAAACCAGCCCACTGAGGAACAATGGGCTGGGAGGTCAGTTCCTTAATCTTAATTATGCAAATTCTCATGACCATTGATCAACAACCACTGACCAATGGCCATGAGTCCCATTCACAGAGAGTTGGGGAATGGCTGCAATCACAGCATTGTAAGATGGTGACGGATGTACCCTTAGGCCCCTCCTTTATTCAGAGATGGTCTTTCCCTTTTCACGTAAATGGCCTCCTTGACTCCGCCCTCAAACCAGCGTTCCTCCCTGTCCAGGATGTTATATCCTCATCATTGAAAGAGTGTCCACTGGCCTGTAGGTGTAGATAGTCTGCAGAGTCCTGGCCTGACGAGGTGGCTCTTCTGTGTTGTTGTTTGGTTTCCCCGACGTATAAATCCTGGCACTCCTCCTGCACTTCACAGCGTACACTATGTTACTCTGTTTGTGTCGGGGGACCCGATCCTTGGGGTGGACCAGTTTTTGGCGCAGCGTGTTTTGGGGTTTAAAAGCCACAGAGACCCGGTGTTTAGAAAAAATGCGTCTCAACTGTTCCTGACACATACGGGATCACTACAGGTTTTCACTTGGGCAGTGGTTGTCCTTCTCTCCTGGATCAGCTGGAGCTTTCTTTAGGCGCCTTCCCAGCTTTGACAAAAGTCCAGCTGGGATAACCACATTTACTCAGGGCCTTCTTGATGTTCTTCTGCCTCCCTGGCTGCTGTGTCAGTGGGGATGGTGTTCCCTCTGTGTTGTAGCGTCCTGATAACGCCCAGTTTGTGCTCCAGTAGATGATGAGAGTCAAACCTTAAATACTGATCCGTATGTGTAGGTTTACGGTACACGTCAGCTTGTAGATGTCCTCCATTACTGATGGAAATCTCACAGTCTAAGAAGGCTAACCTGCCACTGTTCATATCCTCCCTGGTGAATCTGATGTGTCGGTCCACCGAGTTAATGTGATCCGTGAAATGTGGAACGTCCTGAGATTTGATTTTCACCCAGGTGTCATCCACATCCAATGGATTGGTGGTGTTCCAGGGTAGGATAGCAAAGCCCTCTTTTCCACTTCCTCCATGTACAAATTGGCCATGATGGGTGAAACTGGGAGCCCATGGCACCCATGTTTCTGCCTGTAGAACTGACCCTTGTATGTGAAGTAGGTGGAATGAAGACACAGTTCAAACACACACTGTCGATGCTGAGAGCGGTCCTGCTGCTGAGGTTGGGGTCATCCTGTAATCTCTTACGAACTACCTCCAACGCATCCGTGACTGGGATGCAAGTGAAGAGAGGTGTAACGTCGTACGAGACCATGGTTTCATCTGCCTCCATGATGACATCTCTCAACTTCTCAACAAAATCCAAAGTGTTCTGGATGTGGTGTTCAGAGCTGCAGGGTTGAAGGTCAAAGCCAGAAACTTAGAGATGTTATAGGTGACTGAGTTGATCATACAGACAATTGGTCTTAAAGGCATAGCCCTTTATGTATCTTCTGTACAGCCAGATGAACAGAATTAATTTTGGGGAATTTCTTTAACTGGATGATTGAGCATGCATCAAGCCCTTTTTATCTCCTCAAACATATCTTCTCTCCACTTTCTCATCATCAGACACCTTTGCCAGTAAGGTGGCAGCCATTCAGGACCAATATGCCGATGCCTCCATTGGAAATGTGACGGGGAGCAACGCCGTCAATGTCTTCCTAGGTATTGGCGTGGCCTGGTCAATCGCTGCTGTCTACCACTACACCCAAGGTCAGGAGTTCAAGGTCAGCCCTGGCACACTGGCCTTCTCCGTCACACTCTTCACCATCTTCGCATTTATCTGCATCGCTGTGCTCATCTACCGCCGCCGACCGGAGATTGGCGGGGAGCTAGGTGGACCCCGTATCCCAAAGATCCTCACCACTTGCTTGTTCTTCAGCCTGTGGTTAATGTACATCGTCTTCTCCTCCCTGGAAGCCTACTGCCATGTAAAGGGCTTCTAACAGTGCCACTCCAGACCCTCTTCAGGACTTTTCTGTTGGATTCTAGGTTGCTGCATATACCAGTGGGCTATTGTCAAACATTTGCTGCATATCTAAAGGTTATAAGAGGGATTGACCTGAATGGATTCGCTGTAGTTCAGTTCACATTCTTCACGATCATGATCATGAACAGGCACATAAAACAAAATAAAATACATTTTAAAAAACATCTTGAATGGGTTGGGGTTACAATCATACTGGGTGGCTTTTTTAAGGGTTTGAATAAAATCTAGTGACTTAGCAGTTTCTATAATTTGTTACTTGTCTGAAAGTTTAGATTGATGAACATTTCAACAGGTTTCTAAAAAGTTTTGTTTGTTCTTTTTTCACCTATCTCTGAATATCGGAGTTCTTTAAGGTTCTACTAAAGGTACAGAAGTTTCTCATGTGACGCCATGTGCACATTGCTCGAGAGCTGTCTGCCACATCAGACGTGATACAACCACTGGTTGCTGTGGGAAAATGTCTATTTCCTGACTGATTTGCAGTGGTTGCTGGTGATTTCTGCCTCTCACTGGGTGAAATTAGATGCAAAAAAAGGTTTGCACCAGAAAACTCAGAGTGATTGCTTTGGTTGCTACCAGGTTGCCATGGGGAAATGTAGTTTTTCACATTTGTCTTCAAATCCTTGCAAATTCCCAGCAACACCCACTGGAAGTTCAGAAAGTTTGCCTTTAAAGTAATAAGACCACGACAACTGCCATCAGCCTCCAGCAACAACTTACAACCAGTGGTTTAATACTGCAGTTTCCCTCACAAACAGATGGTTGCAGCCGCTCTCTAGGCCTGTGTGACCTGAGTACTATTCACCTGATTCTACAGTATCACCATGATCCAAAATGGCAGACAAGTAAGCGTCACATGGTTGGGGTCACATATTTGCAAACCCTCAGTGAGAGGCTCAAAACCTCTTTGATGGCTTTCTAAAGGCTCCGACAGTACCCGATGGACTCTCTTCTGCTGTGAAGGATCCCTGAAGGTTCTAGTGGAACCCTGAGAACTGAAACTGACTGACTCTGGTGTCCATATTGAACTGTTCTCTGGCTGCTGAGCAATGGTGACTACTTTCATTCTCACATACCTCCCAACCATGTAAAAAATCCATCCGAACCTTTCAGCGATGTCTAATGTAAACTATTTAATTTTGACGTGCATGGACTTTAAACCACATCACGAGTAGCCGTGGCGATTAAGGAGAACCGGAGTGACTTTTAGTGTTTTAGGTGACTCAGAGGGTAGTGTTGCACCTACATTAATATCTGCACTGAGTTTGAATAAAGGGAGAGTTTAATCAGAGATGCTGTGAACAGCAGCTGGCTTGAGTTGGACCTGAGCTGCTGCTTCAGTGGAGTCAAACACTGAGGAAATAACGATGTATGCTTGAGTGTGAGTTCCTACACCGATGACAGAAATCTGTTAGCAAAGACAAAATTCTGTCATGTGATTGGCTGCTTGGGTGATGTAAACATTAGTTGTGTCTTCATAATGCAGTGTCTTTGTTTCAAGTATTAAAGTAGAGTGTCAGTAAATCGTTCTCCTCTTTGACTGGATCACAGAAATGTCTGCTCAAATCCAAGGCATCAATTTCATGTCAACAAAGAGCAGAATATTATAAATGATACT